TGGAGGATCACACTTGGGATTCCATCTTTCTCACCCCAGTTTTAGGCCCTGAACTAGTTTATGGCAAATAAATATATACATTGAGGGTCACAATTGTGTGGGGTTTTTTTCTCCCCTGGAATCCCACGTCTTACTACCCTTTTTAAGTATAAGCTTAAATTGATCCAGCCCTCTGTGAAGACTTGGTAGTTTCTTTGGCTCTACTCAAATGACAACTTTTATCTGAAATTGGAATCAGTTAATGGTATAGTTGACTATAAACACAGTTGTATTTACATGCCACATGGTTGTTGCTGTTAGTAACTGTCAGCTAATAGAGTTTTGCTCCAATGAAGGCTCAGCAAGGTGCACAGTTATTTTCCTGCATGATAAAAATTGATGAAGTAAAAAATTTATAAAATGAAAAAAATGATTTAAATATTTTAAAAATAAATCTGTTTAAAATGACAAGATGTGCAAGGCCTAAACTTACTATAATTTATTAAAATAATTAAATATGAGGCCACAGATATGAGGCTCACTTTTAAATATCTCAAACAATAGTCCTGGTTATCAAAAAGTATCTGTTTTAGTATAAGGTTATGTTTAGTTGCAAATCGACATGTTGCAGTGGTTATAACCAGTGAGAATCAACTTCTCGTTTGGAAAGAACCCTAAAAAGTACAATTGGATAAAAGATTTAAATCTATTTAAATTGTTTCCTGCTTCTCTCATTAAAATTGGGGCTTGCTTTCTACAGCCTTATTTTCTGGCCATGTGACTAGGATAGCTTGTTTAGTCAGTTTGCTTTTTCTCTCTTCTCCCTTCTGTGTGGCTGGATATCTCATAGTGCATTGTTTCATGTGCTGATTCTACCACTGTACATGCATACCCTCTCCATATTCTGTCCTCTGCAACGGTGGTATGGGCTAGCTACTCTCCTTTTTAGTTACAATGCTACTGATAGGAGCATGATTAGGCAGCATAGTATGTGTGGAAACCAAATTTTTTTTTCTGTATTTTAGCCATGTGTGTAGTCCCCAAACAAGATTTGGTGAAGTATTAGGGTGTACAAAAATGCATACTTGTCAGTCATTATATGATGAAAAGTGGGCAACAATTCTTTGTATTAAGAGTAGAGAGAGGTCATTAACTGGTCACACAGAAACTTTTACTTGCAGTGTGGATTAGGCTTCATATATATATGCAACTACAGGAAGTCCCCTGGTTACGTACAAGATAGGGACTGTAGGTTTGTTCTTAAGTTGAATCTGTATGTAAGTCGGAACTGGTGTCCAAATTCAGCCGCTGCTGAAACTGACCAGCGGCTGACTACAGGAAGCCCGAGGCAGATTGTGAGTCTCAGATCCTAGGATATTCCCAGTCTAATAGCCCCTTGTGAATCTCCTAAACTGCTCCTCTAGAGAGAATTTTTCCAGAAGCCTAAAGTGCTAAGGCTGGCAGGAGTGCATTCCTACACTAGAAAATCAGCTATTTTGGCTCACGGTGTCCCCCTCATCCATGTGCTACATCCTTAGAACCCCCATCGCAGGGGCACAGCCTGTTACAATATGATGTACAGGCAGTCCCTGGGTTACATAGATTCAACTTGCATACAAGATAGGGACAGTAGGTTTGTTCTTAAGTCGGAACTGGTGTCCAGATTCAGCCTGGTGAAACTGATCAGCAGCTGATTCCAGGAAGCCCGGGGCAGAGCAACTCTGCCTCGGGCTTCCTGTAGTCAGCGCTGGTCAGTTTCAGCAACTGCTGACTTGGGGACGCCTGGGGCAGAGCAGCTGGGGTGCTTCTGGGTTGCTTTTCATGGTAGGTTTTCTTGTTTGGGGGCTGCTTTTTTGAGAAGGGAATAACAATTAATCTTGTATTTTATATATTTACAAAATTATAAAAAAGGAGTATATATGTATGGTTAGATAAATAGAATTCCTTAAACAGTGTTTCCCAATTTTATTTGGCTGAGGAACCCTTTTCAGCTTTTCAAAATTTCAAGGAACCCCTAGGTTTGTCAAGCAAAAAGAAAAGGGGGTGGGGTGGGGCGGGAGAGGAGAGAGGGACCCACCAATTCATGAAATTCACATTCCTTCCCCAAGACACCCTCCCCTATCTCCTTTCTGTGAGGCCTCATCCGCTCTGTTCCAGGCGCTCTGCCCCAGGCGTCCCCAAGTCAGCCGTTGCTGAAACTGACCAGCCCTTATACTTGTCTCAACCTAGTGAGAGTGAGGTG